CCCGGAGTCCCGAGAAAAAGGTCTTTCGATCGGAAACGCTGCTCCAAGCGAAGCCCGGTTTTCTTTAAAATCCGGTAAGGAGCTACGCCTATGAATTTTAAGATAGCTTTTAAATATTATAGAATGTTATTAGGTCCTTAAAATAATTATTTGAGCTATTATTATGAGTTATATAGAGTGTTGTTTAACGCTTATATAATAATAATAATAGCTAGACTATTAATTAATCGCGGTTAACGTTAGACTAAACCCTAGTGGAATTGATACTAGGTTTTATCGAGGGAAAATTATTTTGAGATAACGAAGCGCTGTTCAAGTGCCGAGTCACCACCTTTCAGGTGAGTGCATAGTTACTTTCAGCTTATACATAGATATGAAGTATATTATATAAATTACGTGTTGTGTGTGCATATTATCTGTATACTTGCTATCTATGCTGGATGAACGATTTTATACATGTTTTAAATGATTTAAACTGTATATGTATTTTATATCTACAAAATGTGTTGGGGTAAAACATGGGTAGATGTAATAGTAGTGTTGTGTGACAAAATAAAAATGAGAGCCTCGTTATAGATGTTATTGATGATCCAGTCATCTAGCGGAGTATAGATGAGGACCACAGACTATTCTAGACAGTCTAGTGGAACGCTAGCAGGCTCGCAACCTGTAGGTGGTTTATTTGAACTGTGTTTTTACCAGCAGTACTCCATCCCCCAATGGTTGCCTTATTTGACATGAATTGCTGAGGAGAATCCCCGAAGCATGTGTTGTCACCCGATGAAGGTCCTTAGACTAGGTCCCTTGAGTTAGATGTTTTAGGGACGTAAAGTGAGGATAACGGAACGGGTAATCGGTTTGTTTGGTTTGATAAAGTTAATAACTTATTTATTGTGGGTTGAAAACCCTATGTGCTCACCAGGCTCCCAAGCCTGACCCACTCAGTTTCTTGTATTACAGGTAGTGGCGCATGAGCATAGATGTTTGGATGAGAGATAAGGGATTATAGGCCTGTAAATACGAAATAATGTAGTACGGCTTATGGTGTACTGTTTTGCTTTGATCAGTATCGAACATGACCTCCCGTCTTTTAATGAAATACATTCTTTGGAAATGCTTTTGATAAATCTTTATCATATTTGTTTTGGGACAAATTCCGCAACACTTTATTTAAAATGTTACTCTGATTTTCAAACAAGCATAAACAAAAATCGGTCTTTTCTGGCCGTCAAAATGGGGATGTCACAGTGTGGTGGTTATCGGAATCGGAAGCTGCAATGGTGAGTGGTGTCGACATTTGTTTGAACGGAGAGGATGAAATTAGGTTAACAGAGAGGATGGAACTTACTCCAGAATGATAAAGAAAATTTGGGAGGGAAGGAAACTTACAGCGATTTCATGAAACTGGAATTAAGTTGTGCCAATTTTAGCAACAGATCGGCGATAGAAAAAACAAAACGCGCGTACTCAAATATAGCTTCCATCGGCGTTCCCTAGCAAAAAGTGTACCGCGACACTAGAAATCAACAATTTTTCTATCCATCGCTGAAGGCCTCGCTAAATGCCTTCATCTTCAACCGATCAGCGAGGGATGGGGGTGCGTCGATAAACCATTGTGAGATCCATAGCTGATCCATCGATAAATCCTCTTTAATATTCTATATGTTGAATAAATAAAATAATTGTCTAAAACATCGTAGATCCATCGCAAAACCCTCGGTATAAGCCTAAAAATTGCTACAGAATTTATCCATCGCTAAATCCGTCACTGAAACTCATGTTTTTAGTAGTGATAGTTTTCTTTGTGATTTTCTTAATAATATAAGAATATGACGATTAACATGATTATGTTCGGTTAGTCGTTAATTACATAATTAAACTTTGTAACACTACAAGAAAAGTCCTTATTAGTTACCAATTTTTTAGTGACGACCTAAAATTTGGTCACTAGCAGCATCATTTAGTCAACCAAAATTTAGTCAGCACTGAATTTTGGTAATCTTACAAATTTAATGACCAATGATATGTGGTGGTCACTAAATCGGTCACTAAACCTTGAATAATGTAAAAATACTTTTTTTCATATCATAATAACTATTGGTGACTAAAAAGAATGGTCACTGTGTTAGAGGTGTGTTAGAGGCCTAGTGACAAAAAATAGTGGTCACTGTATTGAAGTTTGAGTGACCAAAAATAGTGGTCACTAACCATTTTTTGTTATTCTAAACCATATGCGGCTAAACTATGACGACTCAATAGTAATAGTAGTCACTGATTTACAAACTGAAAAACAATTAGTAGCTATCAATTACTATCATTAATTAATATTTTTTAATTTTGAAAATGACCAAAGCTTTAGTTTCTTTTGAATGGAAAATGCTCATTTTATTTGACAAGTCCGTTTCTAAGTCCCTGTGCAATCATCCACAGCTAACCAAAAGCTTTTTATCAAATAGATTTACTATACTACCATTCTCAGACCTAAAATTATTCTTGGGCCATTTTATACTGACTTGAGAAAAAAGTTGAGATGTCCTTTTTCTATTTTCATCGTAATGTTCAAACTCAAAGTCACCCCCGCCTCTCTCGTCAACACGTCTTTCCTCTTTGCCCTAAATCGACATAGCAACCATCGACAGTTCAGACCAGTGTCGCTGGTCAATCATCTTCGGTCACTCGTCGTCGGTCCATAGTCTCTGGTCAATCTTCGCCGGTCCATCGTCTCCGGTCAATCATCACCGGTCCACACCCTTCCCTCGAAGCACCTCAGTTCTCCGCTAGAAGTCAAACATGTACTCTTCTTTCCGCTCCGACCATCGATGTAGCTACATCTTCTGCTCTCATGTGGTATACATTACTTTCCTGCTAATCAATTGTTCAATTGCTAATCGATCGGCTCCCTTATTCCATTCTACCAAATAGTAGCTAAAATCATAGCAACTAGAAACATTACTTTCTCACCAAATAGAAATGCTTGATTAAATTAGCACATAGTTTACAATCAACTGCTTTTTTGTTTATTCTGCCATTCTACCAAAGTGTTGAATTCGAATCATGCTCTAAGGTTGTCTCCATACTTCTCTTTCATCAGTCACAACGGAAATCCAAATTCCATTCATTCTCAAAACATATATATTAGAAAAGTTATCAAGGTTTTTTTTATTTGGTTGTTTTGGCTGATATAAAGCAAAGCATTCTGAAGGGATATTATCTCTTCCAACTCTGTTACTTCTTGATATTTTTTTTCATGATTTCCTCATATGTTGTAAGTAATATTACTTTATTTAAGAGTCATGAAATCTATGATGGCCTCAATAAGTAATTACATGTATAACATAAAAGAGTTATTAAACCGTACAACTTCTAGATTCTACTTTAGACTATTTGACATGCTAGTTTATCTTTAACAGATTTGGAAGTTAGTAGTAAATTTTAGTTTCCATACATATACAAAGTTTATATTAACTTATTGCTCAATTTAAGGATACCACTTGAGTTTTCTTAAATTTTATCACTGTCATTATACATTTATACTCTTTTCAGGACTTTTTCTTTTATCATAGCATATGGACAGGTCTTCAGTCTTGGATGAATATAGTTCATAGGACAAAGGACCCAAGATATGAGTTGGCTGGTCCTTCAAATCATTTGATGCTTTGCTTGATATATTCAGAAAATCCTTTCCAACTCCATCATTAGTCCCAAAGACAACAAGGCAAATAAGTTTTGTAGCACCTGATTTAAATTTGGGCAAAATTTGGTATGTGGTTCAAAGTAGTGCCCCTCGTGCATTGTATGATGTTTATGTAATGATGGAAGAAGTACATCAAGAACGAGAGCCACATTTAAATCTAACTGTTGATTTGAATATGGACCAACTATCCCTAACAGGAGGTAATGTCCCATCAGAAGTGGTGGATGCCTGACCATTACATTGCATGATATAACTTAAAAAACATGTACAAATACAAGTACATCAAGGACAAGAGACCATTCTTAGTACACATATTTATATTTTTATACTAAAATGGATAATGAATCAATTGTCCAACAAAATGAGGGAATATGATAAAAATATTTTTGCTCATCGATTTGATAATTACTGAAACAGGTGCAATGGAAGGAATAAATAAAATGGTAGAAAAAAATAAAAGTTCAGTATAAAAGTCAAGCCTTTTTGCTATTTTTCAAGTGCAGAATAAAAGTCAGCCTTTGTGTTGTGTTCAAGATTAGAATAACAACGATGCACTTCCCTTTTCTTATTAATTCAATTTATCTACAATATAAGTATGAATTTATTTGATCTTTAGTTTGATTTCATTTTTTTTATCTTCTTTCCTCCTACCCTGATGATGTATGATTAAACACATTTATTTACTAATTCATTTATGTATTTGTTTTTTAGCATCTTCAGAGTTGCAGCAGTCGAAAGATGATTTTCTCTAGTAAAAAGGTAACATTTTATTTATGTTATAAAAAGATAATAATAAGTATGTATTTATTTGATATAGTTTGATTTCATTTTTTTCATCTCAATGATTACTACATATTTCTATCTATAATCTTATACTTAAAGTTAATCACTAGCTTGTTACACACAAATGCAGTTGTCATTGTGCCTTGAAGATCTTGTTCCCAGATAGCTATCTCTAAATTAACTCTAATATTTACAGTTTTGGCCCCTCTGTTATATCACTTTTTTTTGGATATGGTTGAAAAAAAGAGTCTTCTTTCATTTTTCAATCCTATTTACTGTTTCTTAACGTTTTTTGTCCATGAATTGTCCATGTAAACAACCATTTCATTAATTTTATGAAAATAACCATTTTGACTTCATATTTATATTTTAATAAAAAATTATTCTGCCAGCCCCATCCGATTTCTGAATATTATTATTTTTGATATCATTAGATTTTGGATTCGTAATTAGGTTTGATTTCAGTTTTTATGAAGAAGATAAGGGTAAAATTGTAATTTTGTTTTGGATATAACGAAATGACCGGTAGCTTTTACGAGGCGAAAAATGTTAAGAAGTAATAAAATAGGGACGAAAAATGCAGCATGATTCATTTAGGAGATTGCAAGATTTCCTTTTCAGTTTGTGCCCTCAAGAGCTTATTCCTGCTTGCGAGGGTAGTTTTGTCCATAGCTTTCATGACAAAGTAGTTTTGTGTCTCGATCAACTCAGAATGATAAACACTTCGGATGCTCTTCCATGATTAATCCATTCTTATGCTCCTATGCAGGTAGGTTGAAACTTTATGGAGCACTCTCCTAAAACTCGCTCTACATTATCTCGAAGAAAATTCAATTGAATTTACTTTTAATCCGCATTGATATCTATATGTTTGATTTTTGAAATATCGGATAAAATGTATGGATTTTGTTTTTTAAAAATAACATTTAATATTTCATGTTATAAATGTGAAAATTTATTTGGTGGTTGTTGTATCGTAAAGATTTATAGCATTTGTGTTTTCTTTTGTCTAATTATATATTATATTTCATATTAAAACCGACATTTAATATTTCAATAATTCCTTAATTATTGACCCCCTTTTATTGTCTAATTGGATAAATTAGTGACGACCCGTTATAGTCACTAATCGGATAAACTAGTGACGACTTTCTATGGTCACTAATCGGATAAGACAGTGACGACTTCTATTGGTCTCTAAGTAGATAAAACAGTGACGACTTTCATTGATTAGTGATAACATTTAGTGACAAAACGGGTCGTGACAGACTTAGTGACAAGTATATTTTTGTCACTATTTAGTGACCATATTTTATTTTGGTCACTAAATTTGTTTTTTTGACAGACCTATAGTGATGAAAGTGACGACCGGAATTTTTGTCACAAAATCATTAGTGACGACTTGTTCTATTGTTAGTAACCATTTTGTTTTCGTCACTAATTGGCATTTTTTTTGGTAGTGCGTGGTCTTTTAATGTTGGGTAGGGTATTAACTTAAAGAGAAAAACTACCCAAGTAAAAATTGTTGTGATGCTGTTAAAAATCAATTAGGTAGTACAAGAAAAATAATAAACTATCAATGGTTTATTGTTATCCTTTTTAGGATCCAAAAGAAGCTCATGGGAGGTGAGCTTCTTCATTTATTATTGACAAAACTGCACAAATGGTCTCTGTGGTTAGCCTAAAATTGTCACTTTGGTCCAAAAAAATTGGACTAGCACCAGAGGTCTAAACTTTTTAGACAAAATTACAAAAATGGTCCCTGTGGTTTGCCAAAAGTAACAAAGTTAGTCCCTATTAATTTTTTTTGATGCAAATGGCCCCTGTGGTTTGCAAAACTTGCACAGATGACCCTTTTTACTAACGCCGTTAGTATTCAGCCGTTAGGGACTGAATTAGCAAGGGTATTTTCGTCTTTTCAAGTATAAAGGGACTAGATTCGCAACTTTAGGTAAATCATAGGGACCATTTTTGTAATATTGTCTAAAAATGATAAGAATGATAAAA